AGGGGCAGTTGACAAGGCTATGCTGGGGGGTGGGGAAACAGTGGAAGGATTGAAGGGTGGACAGGGGCCAGTAAGACTAAACTGTGATGGGGCTAAAGGAGGGCAGAGGGAAAAGGGACACTCAGGAATTTGTAATCTAGCCTTGCAGATAAATTCCAGCTTCCTGATGTGGTCCAGCTGTCTCATCTCCAGACTTCAATGTCCAGGGCCAGGAGCTAGGCTGGAATGGAGCTGCTAGCCACATTTACTGGCTCTGAGTTGCAGCAGTGGTGGTGGAAATGGGCAGGGAGATGGGTAGAGAATGCCTATCTCCAGCCAAAGCTCTGTCCCTTCCCCTCCCCCAGAGAACAAGGCATGGACAGTTGTGCGGCATGACAGGCTGTGGACAACTCGGGTGACAGGTTCGAGCATGGAGCGGCCATTCCTGGGGGCCGTCCAGTACTGGAATGCATCCTGGGAGGAAGTCAGTGCCCTGGCCAATGCTTCCCAGCACTGTGAACAGTGGATCGAATTCTCCTGCTACAATTCCAGGCTGCTCAACACTGCAGGTTGGGTCTGGGGTCTGGGAGGGTGAGGCAGAGAGCTGGAGGAGAGGCCAGTGGGGGCCTGGGAGAAAGAAACCAGACGGTTAAGTTGGAGCCCTGGGCTAGAACATTCAAGAGTCCTGAGCTGGTTAGAAGGGTGAGGGGGGAGCCCAGAGACTTGTGGAGGTACAGGGCCTAGAAACTGCCTGAACCTCTTCCCCAGGAGGCTACCCCTACAGCTTCTGGATTGGCCGGAATGAGGAGCAGCACTTCTACTGGGGAGGCTCACAGCCTGGGATCCAGCGCTGTGCCTGCGGTCTGGACCGGAGCTGTGTGGACCCTACTCTGCAGTGCAACTGTGACGCTGATCAGCCCCAGTGGTGAGGGAGGCACAGGGCGGGGCTCTCAGGATCTGGGGGCCGGTGAATGGCAGGGGCTGAGCCACTGCATCTTGTCCGCACAGGAGAACCGACAGGGGACTGCTGACCTTTGTGGACCATTTGCCTGTCACTCAGGTGGTGGTGGGGGACACAAACCGCTCCACTTCTGAGGCCCAGTTTTTCCTGAGGCCTCTGCGCTGCTATGGCGATCGTGAGTGGCAGACCCGTTTTCTGTATCATCTAGTTTCTAAAATCTAGGCCATCTGACTCACTGGGTGCCTCCAGGACACAGTCAGACACCCCAGGTCCTCCTATGATATGACCCCCCATCTATATTGCTCCTTTACACCTTATTGTCTTTCATTACACTCCTTGGTTACCCCTAGTTGTCCCTCGGCCTTTCCTTCCCCCACTCACCTGAGGCTCCCTTACTCCCCGACCCTCCAACCTCCCTGACAAGGCCTTCTTCCATCTGGTTTTGTAGGAAATTCCTGGAACACCATCTCCTTCCACACCGGGGCTGCACTACGCTTTCCTCCAATCCGTGCCAACCACAGCCTTGATGTCTCCTTCTACTTCAGGACCTCGGCCCCTTCAGGAGTCTTCCTAGAGAATATGGGGGGCTCTTACTACCAGTGGTGCCGACCTTACATACGGGTGGAACTAAACAGTGAGCAGGCACACGGGGAGGGACGTGGGGTAGATGACTAACTCTGGGAAGAATGGGTGTAGGTGGAGGCTGGGGAAAGTGACAAGAGCAGATGTCTTGTCTCTTTGAGGGCAGATGTCTTGTCTTCTCTATGGAGAAGGCTTTGATGACCCTGGGTTCTAGTCCAGCTCAGTCTTGAAAGCTGGTTTTGTGACCTGAGGCACCCATCTGCCTCTCGGGGCCTTAGGTGAATAAGGAAGCTGGGATCCTGAGGTATCTCCTACCTAGTAGCTATGCTTCTAACCTGAGAAGGGGGGTGGGAAGCTGGCTCCAGGGATCTGCAAATTTGGGAGAGAACAGGGGTATGAGGTTTTAAGCCGTTTTAAGTTTTGTCCCAGGCTGTAGACAAACTGGAGGGACATTCCAGGAGCTCCAGAGTGAAGAAGAGAGGTTGCATTGGGTGAGGAATCTTGGAGGTCTGAGTCCTCTCCCCCCACCCCCACCAGCATCCCGAGATGTGGTCTTCGCCTTCGATGTGGGGAATGGAGATGAGAACCTGACAGTACACTCAGATGATTTTGAGTTCAATGATGACGAGTGGCACCTGGTCCGGGCTGAAATCAACGTGAAGCAGGCCCGGCTCCGCGTGGACCACCGGCCCTGGGTGGTGCGGCCTATGCCCCTGCAGACCTACATCTGGCTGGAGTACGACCAGCCCCTCTACGTTGGTAAGCAGCAACCCAGAGGCAGGTCTGAAGTCTCCTTAACCTTTCCACCCTCTCAAAGCTGCTCTCCTTGTTTCCAGGAACCCGTGTCTTAATTCCCAATCCCCTCTGTTTCAGAGAGAGCCAGAGGCCCACCGTCCCTCTCCAGTCCCTGGCTCTAGTCCATTATTCTAGCTCCCTTGGTTCCTTTCCCAACCCCAATACTTATCCCTGTCTATTGCTCTACACCCATTTTTTAACCTGCCCACCCTTCCCAGGATCTGCAGAGCTTAAGAGGCGCCCCTTCGTGGGCTGCTTGAGGGCTATGCGTCTGAATGGAGTGACTCTGAACCTGGAAGGCCGTGCCAATGCCTCTGAGGGTACCTCACCCAACTGCACAGGCCGCTGTGCCCATCCCCGGTTCCCCTGTTTCCATGGAGGCCGTTGCGTGGAGCGCTACAGCTACTACACATGTGACTGTGACCTCACGGCTTTTGATGGGCCATATTGCAACCATGGTCAGTGCTGTTGGTTATGGGAGGACAGGGAGCTGTAGGGTGTAATGGGATGTAGGGATGGCAGGGAAGAAAGGAAGGAGGGTGTCTCTGGGTTCCTGAGCTCTGATCTGGGGCCATTAGACAGCTGAAGATGCTGGGTGACTCCAAAGGCATAAAGTGGGGCAAGGAAGGGGTGGTACAGCTAGCTGGTAGTAAAAGCAACAAGCAAATAACTTCCCCATCTTCCTCTATCGCCAAGGTAACACAGGTTCCCCCCCTTGCAAGCATATCCACCTCAGGCTGCATGATGCCCTCCTATGCCATTTCCTATTTGACAATTGCTGCACTCCTAAAACATATCTACAGCTGGGTTCTTGGTTAAAGAGAACCTAGTCATTCACCACAGCAAGATCTCTGCACATATACTCAAGACTGCATCCTCCCTAAGGCTGGTAGGTTACTAATGGGAAGTCCGATGGAATTAGGGAGATTTAGGGACTTAGGGACCAATAGAAGACCTTTGGTCTTGGTTTGGAAATGTGAGTAGTGGTGAATGTACTGGATGGAGTCATGATATCTCAGTTCTAATCTTGGCTCTCCACTTATTGGGTATCCTTAAGCAAGTCACTACCCACCTCTGAGCCTCAGTTTCCCCACCTGTAAAATGCAGCCCCAACCCCAGCAGGGGTTGGCTAAGATGAAACTGGTGGTGGCAGAAACTGAAGGCAAGTCCAGGGGTGTGTGTGTGTGTGTGTGAGTGACATATACAATGTCTGAATATGGGAACGGAAGCCCTGACCTCACCACCTGTGCCTTCAGATATTGGTGGTTTCTTTGAGCCCGGCACCTGGATGCGCTATAACCTGCAGTCAGCACTGCGCTCTGCAGCCCGGGAGTTCTCCCACATGCTGAGCCGGCCGGTGCCAGGCTATGAGCCAGGCTACATCCCCGGCTACGACACTCCTGGCTATGTACCTGGCTACCATGGCCCTGGGTACCGACTGCCTGACTACCCGCAGCCTGGCCGGCCTGTGCCAGGTTACCGGGGTCCTGTCTACAATGTTACTGGAGAGGAGGTGTCTTTCAGCTTTAGCACCGAATCTGCCCCCGCTGTCCTGCTCTACGTCAGCTCCTTTGTGCGTGATTACATGGCCGTGCTCATCAAGGAAGATGGTAAGCTCCTGACAGGCTCTCTCCCTCAACTCCAGCTTCTTCCAGGGCACCCTTCATTCTCACAACTATTGATTCACTAATTAATACATAAAAGGACCTAAGTGCTCTTAGAAAAAGGGGATTGTGGGACCTGAAGGGAGACTCCCTCTTTCTCCTCTCCACCCCACAGGGACTCTACAGCTGCGATATCAGCTGGGCACCAGTCCCTACGTGTACCAGCTAACCACCCGACCAGTTACAGATGGCCAGCCCCACAGCGTCAATATCACCCGGGTTTACCGCCAGCTTTTCATCCAGGTGTGTGTAGAGAAGTGGACCAGTTCAGATCATAACCTCATGATCAAGGTTGTGGCACCCAGGAAAATGTCAAATATTTAATATTTGTATTTATTACCTCATATGACTCTCACAAAGGTCTGTGAGGCAGTTCAGGTACACATGTGTACTTATTATCTCTGTTTTACAAATAATTACGGACTCAGAAAGTAAAGTGCTTCCCCAAAGTTAAACTACTAGAAAGCTGCAAAAACAGGGCTCAAAACCAGGCTGTTGGGTTTTTAAAACCAAATTCTACATCTGGTCCAGGGGTGGCGCACGTAGTGCAAAGAAGGTTGAGATAGGACAAAGCTAGGACTTACCACCTACTTGGACAGAGTTCAGGGTTCCTGGATGATCGTGGCTGCGTCTGCCTCTGGTTCTCCCTCCCGCATCTCCTTTCCCCTCCCCGTCTCAGGTGGACTACTTCCCAATGACAGAACAGAAGTTCTCACTGTTGGTGGACAGCCAGCTTGACTCACCCAAGGCCTTGTATCTAGGGCGTGTTATGGGTAAGCTGAGGGTGACAATGCATTTGGGGTAAGAAATTGTGGGTGAAGTCCCTGGAGCCTAGATGAGAGTGAAGGAACTGGGAATCACAGAGAAAGTGCTGATTAGTAGGAAATCTATGGATGGTAAGGGAGGGTTATTGGTGGTCCAAGCCCTTTCTTTCTGGGCCTGCCTCTACCCCAGAAACAGGAGTAATTGACCCAGAGATCCAGCGCTACAACACACCAGGTTTCTCGGGCTGCTTGTCTGGTGTTCGATTCAACAACGTGGCTCCCCTCAAAACCCACTTCCGAACCCCTCGACCCATGACTGCTGAGCTAGCTGAGGCCCTTCGAGTTCAGGGAGAACTGTCTGAATCTAACTGTGGAGCCATGCCACGTCTTTTCTCAGAGGTGCCACCTGAGCTGGATCCCTGGTATCTGCCTCCAGGTATGTCCCCAGGACACAGAAGAGGGAGGGACAATAGAGAAAGAATATTATTCTTACCATATCAGAGGCTTCTCCTAACTGGTGCTTTCTCTTCTTCAGACTTCCCATACTACCATGATGATGGATGGGTTGCCATACTTTTAGGCTGTGAGTAGTGTGATCCCTGCCCTAACCTCCTGATTCTACCCTCTGACTGTTAGCATTCCCTCCCTGCCCTGTAGATTCTGTGGGTCGCGACCCCTGAAAATACAACCTGCATATCAGATATTTACATTACGATTCATAACAGTAGCAAGATTACAGTTATGAAGTAGCAACGAAAATAATTTTATGGTTGGGGGTCATCACAACATGAGGAACTGTATTAAGGGTTGCAGCATTAGGAAAGTTGAGAACCACTGCTGTAGAACATGGTAGTGCAAAGAAGGTTGAGATAGGCCATGCTGAAGTAGTATGTAATTGGAATAGAGATTTTTAAATGTTTGAGGATGCTATAGACTTTTGTTTTTATGTTATAGACTTTAATTGAAATATTAAGATTGGACTATGGTTAAGGAATGAGGAAATGGGGGTATAGTAACATCTAGAGAGATAAGAAGGGTTAACTGCCCTGGCTGGTTTGCTCAGTGGATAGAGCGTCAGCCTGTCGACTGAAGAGTCCCAGGTTCGATTCCAGTCAAGGGCACATGCCTGGGTTGTGGGCCCGACCCCCAGTGGGGGGCGTGCAGGAGGCAGCCGATCAATAGTTCTTTCTCATCATTCATGTTTTTCTCTCTTTCCCTCTCCCTTCTTCTCTGAAATCAATAAAAAAAATATATTATAAAAAAAAGGGAAGGGATGTGAAAAGAGAATATTAGAAGATGGTGAGGGATAAGCCAGGAATTCAGACCTACCAGACACTAAGGAATAGCTTGATGGTTGTAGAGTGAACACTGTTGTTCATGTATGCTTTTAGTCAAAAGCATACATCTGTGTCTGTATGTAGGAGAAACCCCAAAGATCTGCTCTAATTATTTCTTTTTCCTCTTTCAGTTTTGGTGGCCTTCCTGCTGCTGGGGCTGGTGGGAATGTTGGTGCTCTTCTATCTGCAAAATCATCGCTACAAGGGTTCCTACCATACCAATGAGCCCAAGGGCACCCACGATTACCACCCTGGCAGCAAACCTCCCCTACCTACTTCAGGCTCTGCCCAGGCCCCGCCCTCTACACCAGCTTCCACCCAAGTTCCAGCCCCAGCCCAGCTCCAGCCCCAGCCCCAGCACCAGCCCCAGCACCAGCCCCAGCCCCAGCCCCTGGCCCTGGCCCCCGGGACCAAAACCTACCCCAGATCCTGGAGGAGTCCAGATCTGAATGAATCAGAAGGGCTTCAGGGACCAAGTCCATTTCTCTGAATTCCCCATAACCTGCCTCTACCCAACCCTGTCAGGGACATTTGACTCCTTTTAGCTGGTTCTGCTCACCCAGAGGATTCCCCTCCTGCCAAGTTTGGTGGGCAGAGCTACAGATGGGACCAAAGGGAGTAGCTGAGCCTCACTGCCTAAACCAATGCCCTGCCCATTTCCGTTTCCCCAGGCTCCTGGTGGTTTGCCTGCCCCAAAAGGAAAGCCTCATGGGGTTGAGACAGGTCCTTCCTGCCATCCCTGTCCCAGCTGCTGCCAGGGATTAAGAGAGTGCAGGGGAGATTAACTGTCTCTCTCCAAACATTCAATCTCAGCAGGGATAGATGTGTGGGATTGCAGGGATGCACGAGGTATGGGGGGAGGAGGCTGCTAAACATATCCCCCAGCCTTCCCCCTGCCCTGCACAACATCTTCCATCTGTGTCCACTCAGCTGGGGGTTAGGGAGGGCTTCATCATTGGGTCCTACCCTCCTCCTCCTTTTTTGTTTTTTATAGACTGAGAGGCTTCAGTTTAGCACTTTAGTACCTCTGCTGCTTCAAATGCTTTAGCCAAAGCCATAAAAACTTGCAACGTAGAGAAAATGCAGACACACTGACTAGCCAGCTCTGTACTCTTCCTCCCTCTTCCAAGATATGCAATAGCCTTGATGCCTGTCAAAAGGCTTAGCCCCCTCTCCAATGCATGAGGAGCCCTCTTTCCTCCGCTCAGAGATGCTGCTTCATTTGCCCAGGAGGTCACATTCTTTAAATATATTTTTTGTTGCAAAGTCTCTCTCTAGAGAAACTATATATTATTCTAATTTTTAAATTATCAGTTTATATATAAAAGAAGAAAAAAGCAATCGATTGTCCTGTCCTGTGCTGTGCCTGTGGTCTGTAGTTTGCTTCTCCTGTGTTGGAAGTCCCATGAGGCCTGTTGGTCACTCATCCAGCCTGAGTCGGCCTCCACTCTGAAGCTGTGCTCTCAGACGTAGAGCCGTTCTAATAAAACAGAGTGGCAGAGCCCCAGACTGTGTGTGGTGGCTGGTGTTGTGGTTAGCGGGTGGGGTAAGTGGAATGGTTTTAAGGGAATTAATTTGAGGGCTTGGGAATTTCTACAGGGAACCCTCAGAATCCTTGCATCACCTACCAGGAGCCTGACTGGTTCTTTCCAACCCTCAATCTCACCCAGCCTCACATCTCAGTGGACAAGTGGGGATCAGAATGCTAAAGCTTCAGCCGAATTGCCCCTGTACCATCATCCCTGGATCATTTCCAGCCCCAAAGCGCACGGAACACACTTTGCCAAAATGGTTTCTGCCATTTATTCAGATAAGAGATCACAAGCCACAGGACTTAAAGTGCGTGAAATTCACTGGCAATGAAGCCGCACATATACCAGCCTCCCCGGCCCTCCCCCCACCACCTTGCTCCATTCATCATTACATGTCTGGGGGGAGGGGTTGACACCCGTCATTAAAGGTTGAGGACAGCAGGGAAAAAGGATGGGAATGCTGGAGGAGCAGGAGTATTAGTGGTCTGAAACTGGGGAAAGAAGGGGTTGGCCACAGTGATTCTGTACACTGAGGCAAGGGTGGGGTCAGTCTAGCCTCTCAAAGGCTCGATGTAATTTTTTCCCACCTGTTCCTCACGGCCAGCCCCTGGCATTTCAGGCAGACGTAACTCCTCCTTCTTCATCTGTCTATGGTTTCCCCTATAATTTATGAGTAATTCAGAGCCCACAGTCCAGCTAGAAGGTGCCCCCGATACACAATGATTACAAACCACAGCAGATAGACATTTCAGAATTGTGGTGGGGGCTGGCCCACTCAGGTGGGAAGAGGCTTCTGTCAGGCGCTGGCTGGGCATATGCCCTGCTGCCTGCATGTGCCCACAAGTGTGGTGAGAGTAGGTGAGTGAGTGTGTGAGTGTGTGTGTGTGTGAGTGTGTGTGAGTGTGTGTGTGTGTGTGTGTGTAAATGTCCCACAAAAACCCCTGGGCGGCTGCTTGGCCAGAGGGAATCCTATCCCTTGCTTCATGGGACAGCCAGTGGGGTTGGAGGAAGGGAGTGGTCAGCACAGACTGGGAGAGAGGGCTGATTCCCCAGAGGGAAGGGAGAAGCCTGCTCCCTATTCTAATACTCCCGAGGCCAGTCTGTACCTGCCCATGTCCTTTTTATCCAGCACAATGCTCCTTATTCCCTGCCAGCTCAGCACACAGCCAGACTCTTAGAGCCGGCCCTTTCTCATTAAATTCTTCTGTGTCAAGACAGCTCCTCCTACCTCCACCAGGTGATGAGACAGAACTGGCAGAGAATCCTCCACCCCTCTTCTCCCCCCACCTCAGGAAAGGGATTTGGGCAAGGAACTCGAGACCTTAGCTTAAACTCTACCCCAATCTACAGATCTTCTAAAAGAAATAAAGTGCTTTGCTCTGCATAAATCCCAGAGAAAATGGCACACAGACTGGCACAGGTGGTCTTCTCGACACTTCAAATACCCTCTGCCAGCCTGCAGGGCCCACATGATGCCATCCTAAACACGTGCAATTTGGGAGTCCCTGACCCACCTCCACAAACATACTGTCAACTCACCCTTCCCAACAGCAGGAGCTACAGACAGGAAAGTCAATCACACCGACAATCTCCCTTAGTCCAGGCCTGTGCCCATCTACATGGAAGAGATAAATGACAGTGGCTCCATGGGCTTGGCCTCTAAGGGGAATGAAAGGCCTGAAAACAACTACGGATCCAGGAGCCAGAGTACTCACACCCGGCCTGCATACCCCTCCACGCTTCTTCAATAGCAGCAGAATGCCTGCCTGGAGTTGCTATGCTAGAACTTAGGAAGGAGCTAACAGGGCACTGGCCCTTGCTCCAGGGCATCGGAAAACGTTTCCATCTCCAGAATATTCAGAGGTTTCTCAAAGCCTGCTGGGCCTCAAGCTTAACAGTTTAATTGCTATTGTCAGGCTGGTTCTCACTGTCCCTGGAAGGAGGGCCTTTAGCTTTCCTTCTCCCAGCATTGAATGTCTAGACTTAGAACCCACTCTCAGGTTGGACCCTGCCAGGAAGGAAAAGGTAGTAAGGTGACCCACCTCCACTCTGAATTCAGTCTCTGCTGCCTGCCAGACTCACCTTTAACCCAGATCACTCAGAAGCTCCAGGTCCTAAATGTCACTTAGCCTGTCTTCTCCAGGTCTTAGGACCACAGAGAGATATGCTGGCAACCCAATTACATAAGGACCCTTGATTTGGAAAGTTATAATTAACGGCTAATGCTTGTGGGAACCGTCCAAGTTGATTCCTGAGGCCCACTGCCTGGGTGACAAGAAATCACGCATACATCACCCACCCTCACCTGTGCTCACTTCCTCTGAGACCTGAGATGCAACACTGACTTCTGCACCTCTCTCTCCTGGGAGCCCAAGCCCTAGCTGCCTCTGCCTCCCCTCTCACTGAGACAGTTTTGTCTCACTGGACACAGCTGAGGCCACACTACAGAGGAGTGGGTGGGGGTTTCTTGGTGTGAGAAACACATAGTGCAGGAAACTTGAGCAGCAGTGGTGTGTGCACGAAAGCAAAGACAGTGCTGCTACCATAAGCGCTGGCATGGAGCCCAGGAGGGCTAAAGGACATCAGTCTCCCTCTCGATCCCCACGTACTTGAGGGCATCAGCTTGGCTGTACCTGTCCCAGAGCAGGAGGAGGAACCAGATTACTATGAAGGCTTTTGTGATAAAAAAGAGTCCCCTCCCATTTCACTTCCCCTCCCACTTTTTAAAAGCAGTTTTCAATGCTCCCCTTCTGAGACAAGGCACCAGAGATCAGAACAAAGACAAAGCCTTGACCACCATGAGATCCTCTCCTTCATCCCCATCACCCATCTTAAGCCCCCAAATCAATTCCACCAGCCACCCTTTCCACCCTTGGGGCCACCTTTCTAAGACCATTCCTAGCTGCCTCACCTGTAATCAAAGAAGAGCTCTTCGCCAGCTTGAATTGCCCTCTTGGCAAATATCCCAATCCGATGGTCCCCATTCACCATGACCACTGCAAATAGGACAGACCCGGGGCTAAGTTCCCAGTCAGCCCCAAGTCAAAAATCAGTAGTGACTCAGGTCTGCTTTTCTCCAAATTCCCAGTGAAAATATAAATGAAGTGGAATTAGAAAGTAGTCAATAGAGTTGCCTCTGTGCTTTTTTTTTTTTTTTTTTTGCTTAGTTAATAATGGATAGAGATCATAGTAAATGAAGCATACATCCTCAAGCCCACCTCCCAGGTCACTGAGAACTCACCTTTGGCGTAACAGTTGGGGTTCACTGAATGGTTTGCAAATCGAATTTTGTTTCCTTTCCGGGTTGCATCCACTACAAAATCTGTATAAAGTAAACCAAGAAAGACCATGAACTCACCAGGCAACTCCACAGCTTCTTGAGCCTGAATTTAAAATCAATCAAACAGTAACAGAAACAAGACGATCCAGTGGGAATTTTAGTAGGAGCTGGGGAAGCAGGCAGTATAAGAATGCAGCTTCACGTGGGAGTACTCCCTTTGGTTCCCCCCTCCTTTTGCTGGAATTATGGATCTCCTCTTTCCATCTAGGGAGGGAGATTTCTGAGGTGTAAGTGCTCAGTGCTCTGATTACAAACACAACCGCAATGGAAGTTCTCCCAAAGCAAGTGAACTGTGGCTCACAGTGTCTCTGAGTTCAATCTCACCACCTTGCTCTGAGCATCTGTTGGAAGATTCAGAGCTGATCTGAACCTGGACCAGAACAAGGGACATCTGGTAGGAAGACATGCTCAAGACCACTTTGGGATGAGAAAGAGAGACTCCATACCATTGTTGAGGTTGAAGAGGAAGCTGGACATGTATTTGTCATAGACCTTCCCTCGTCGATCAGCCTCGTCCTGAGAGATGAGCTGCAGAGACAGACAAGGAACGAACAGGGGGATGAGGCCGTCTGCTCAGGGCATGGTACCCTGTCCCTCGACAGGAGTGGGAGGGGCAGTGTCACATACAGGTGTGTACTGAGTACCATGATGAGAATCATAACATACCGAGCTCGGGTTAGTTCCTTCCAATCCCTACCCAAGCTGGCCAGTGTTAAGGTTGAAGAGAGCCCCCACCCACCCCTCCTATGTGGCCTGAACTGCCAGAGTCGAAGAAGAGTGGTTTGTTTCAGGATTGCAAACAGTTCTGTGGGATCCCCCGAGAGTCCACATGAGAACTCAGCTGAGTTATTTAGAGATTAATTCACAGAAGTCTGGACCACAGAAAATCAGGGTTTCTCATCACTATTTCCCCAGATAAGAATGTGGGCCAAACCGATAGCACTCACCTCACCACAGTATTCAGAAATGAACTCGTTCTTCTGCACAGACTCCTTAATGAAGGTGCCCCATCCGGCCACATCTGAGGGGGCCAGCAGCAGGTGCTGGGGAAGAGGGAGTCAAACCTCAGACTACAGGGTGTGTGTGTGCTGGGTGCGCACGTGTACGGTGGGGGGAGAGCAGGGTGGAAAGAACTAGTAACTGTTAAGAGGATCTGAAAACAGAAAAAGGTCTAAGCTATTCTGTTCTGCTGGGAGGAAAAACAAAAAAGGGAGGTGGTGAAAGGAAACATGACCCCTCCTCCTCTAGACCTGTGGACCTTCACTGCTATGTGTCAAGTAAAAATAGACCACATCAGTGACCAGTCCCTCCTCTCTGCTCCTTTCCATCTGGCTGGTTCAGGGGGTCACTCTTCTCATCCATCACTGGGACAGAAAACTTTATTAATTCAGTAAAAGTGTGTCGTCTAGGGTTTACCAAGAACTTTCATATACAAACCCTCTAAGGAACCAGTAGAAACAGGCTGCTGGGAATACTCAGTCTTCCCCACTCCACTATCCAGCTGGCAATCCTGAGAAAAGCCCTCACCTTCTTGAGTCCTCGCTGGATGCTGCAGTTTTTACAGGAAACCACTTTGCAGTCCCAGTGCTCTGAGGCCCCACAGGTGAGACACAGGTCGGGGTCACACTCTCTCACTGCCAGGTAGCAAGGGCACTGCTTGGTATTGCACTGGGTCTTACAGCGACAGCCAGGGAAGCGATTCTGACCTGGTGGGACAACAGGTGAGGTTGGGAAGAGAGCAGGCTCGTGCTGGGTTTGACTCAAGGGACAGCAGAAAAGTAAGTGTTATGTGTTCAAGGATATTTGGCAAAATAGGAGAGACGTTCCCTTCCCAATAATCATATACTCAAAAATTTTCCAAAAAAAACATGGAGTGCCTCCCAACATTCATGCCTGAGAGTCAAAAAAGCAGGTTTGACTATGGAGATATATTTCCTAGAGATTCCCCAACAATGCTCTCCCTCCTCCTTGGTGGAATCTGGAAGGGAGGTGGATAGTGCCCCCAGAAAATAAAATCAGTGTTTTTCACTGGTAAATTCTGATCATCAAAACAAAAACCACTTTGAGAACAATACATCCGTTCTATGCCACCCTCCTCCACCCACAGCCCTCCCCTCTGCTGTGGTTAAGATTGATAACTGCTACGGGTTAGGAGGTATTTCACAACTGCCTGGGCACCAAGTTCTGCAAGCTCTGGAGGCTACCATCAAACTGCCTTGACGGGGGAAGGGCATGGCTAAAAGAGAAGCACTTGAACCTCTATCCTACCTTCTGCTGACGTACAGACCAACCCGATATTAAAATTCCAGAGAGAAAACTAAAATAGATACACACAGAATTGCAACCTGCACAGGTTACAAAATGTTCTGGAAAGGGAGGCTGTGACTGCACTGGCAGGAAGATGCCATGCTTCTTACTTCTGCCCTGGAAGGTCAAGTTGGGAAAGCATCTGGCTTCTGTATAATTGTTGCTTTTAGAATCATACATGTAAGGGTTTTTAAAAAATCACTTTTCCATATCTTAAGTCTCTTGTAGAGTGCTTAAAACACAGCAAAGAGAATATCAAAAGGCCCATCAGCAGCAAAAGGCGCAGGAGGGGAGGGAAACCTGGGATGAGTTGGGCCGGCTGTGTTGGCAGACTACAGGAGAAAACGAAGAACTCTTACAGTCTGGGTTGCACTGGCAGAACTTCTCACAGAAATTCTGAGTCATGATGCAGGGGCAGGTGCTGTCGCAGGGGCGGTCTGGGTGGTCGCAGGGTTGGTAGTTGTACACTTGTGTGGAAGAGTTATCTGGAAGAGAAGAGAATAGACCAGGGCACTGCTGTGCTCATGCTCCCTAGCGGCCTTCCTTCTCAAGTGTCCGGGGCGCTGATTCAGAGGCTTGTTTTACCATAACTTTGATCCACATCTAGCACCTGATGATGGCAGTCCTAGATGATGGTTGTTCATAAGCTACAACGGCATGATTTGTTTTGTGGCGAAAGTGTAGAAATAGTCCGGGACTATAGCGCAGCTATTCTGAACATTAAATGAAGTCTAGGTTCTGGCACATGGCAAACCATGAAAGTCAGAGACCACAGGCCCGTAACTCTACCTCCTAAGAGTCTCCACAGCTGCAGCGAGAAGCTGAGCTGTTCTCAGCTGCTGCAGAAAAGCTGCAACCCGCGGAAGTGGTGTAGGGTCAGCAAGTGCAGCTGCAGGTGGGGAGAGGACGGCCATAGGGGTGAGACCTCGAGCTGAACTGCGGAAGAAGGCCCTGCTGGAACCTACCTTTCTTCAGCTGAATTTTCCTGCAGTGTGCAGCCCACAACCTGGAAAAAGACAGGATGGGTCTGGGTCACGGTCCTGGGGAAGTCTGCAGGTCCGGGTAAAGGACAATGCGACCTGCTCTGAGGGACTGCAGTTGGAGAATTGGGGCATGTCCTCCCACATCACTTCCCTGGAGGCTTCTGTTCTCGTACAGGGAAGCCACAGTCCACCCCAAATCCAGCTGGCCTGTGCCTCAACATTTAAGCATAAACAACCTCCCCTTAGCAAACAAACATACATAAAACAAGAAATAGACACACAACAAAACCCAACCCTCTATGTCTACTGTAATCTATTGTCCTTCCCTCTCCCCAGCCTGTGGGGAGGTGGAAATGTGGGGAGTTTCAGGATGGGGAGTTGAGAAGGCTTTTGAGGAACATGTTCTGAGTGAAGGAACTGAGAGGGAGCGGCCACGAGGCCTTCCTTCTATATCTAGAATCTGTGTCAGTTCCTTTCTTCAATAGGTGATAGTCATTAGGGAACCAAGCCAGGCAGAATGTCAATTTAAAAACACAACAACAAAAAGCAAAGAAAAATAAAAGATAAAAACACAACAAAAAATTTCCAACTCTAAGCAAAGGCTAGCTAGAAAACAGTTATTATGCAACTTTGAAAAATAATACAAGTGCCAAAAACAAAACAACCCTGGTCAGGGTTGAGAAGTGAGTACAGTGGTTAACTAATCACCAACAAGGACAATGGCCTCAATGTGGAGCCATGAGGCCAGTTCATATTCTGTTGGCCAGGAGCTCAAAGGGAAAACCAAAGTGAGCTCATGATGAGGAGAAAGGCTGGGCCAAGGCACAGACCCACAGGGAGCACTGACAAGGCCGGCCCTCAGTTACGCATGCCAAACGGATGGGCAGTGGCTACAGAGAGAGGCCAATGGGAAGTCCAAGGGGAGGTCAAAGCACAGGGAACAGCCTGACACAGAAAGTCCTTTGTCCAACCCTTGCCTGTGCTTTCTTTTCTTCTTCTGAGAAGGGTTCATGAGCTCATCTGTTGGCAGCTTCAGGATAAGTGATTCTTTGACTGCAAACTGAAAGACCTGGAAGAGAAATCCAACAGAACCTGTCACTCCTTATTGAGCCAGGCGGTCAGATAAGTGACCCGGCCAGGTGCTGGGCCTAGGAGGGTTCTAGAGAGCTCCCAGGCAGCTGACTGAGCATTTCTTCAGTCACAGGGAGACAGAGTGGCAATGGCTCTGAAGTTAGTTCTTATTTATCCGACTTGAGAAAGGAGAAATACTGAGCACAGTTACAGCTTTCCTGGTTAGTAGCTTTTATCTACTGTTTTGCCTACCAACCCTGAGTGTGGGCAGATTTTTACCAACAGTATCTCTCTCTTCTTAGGGAGGGCAACTTTGTGTACCTTGTGTAACTGAGTAAGATCTGACATACACCAGCACTAGCTCCCTCTGCTGGTATAAAGGCATCAGAGCCTTGACTACTCACTTCAGTAGGACAGCATTTCAGGAAAGCTGGTTCCCTTTCATTGTGCTTCTTTCCTTTATAGCATTCATTTTTAGGCCCCCTGCCACCCCCACCCCCCTTTTTGGTTATAATTCCTTTTGAGAGTCTGTGAAAAGTATAGATGCTCTACTCAGGAAAATATGCACAAAAATTGTTTCATGCCCAATTTGATAGATCTTTCTTTTTAAAAATACATTTTATTGATTTTTTACAGAGAGGAAGGGAGAGGGATAGAGAGTTAGAAACATCGATGAGAGAGAAACATCAATCAGCTGCCTCCTGCACACTCCCTACTGGGGATGTGCCTGCAACCAAGGTACACGCCCTTGACTGGAATCGAACCTGGGACCCTTCAGTCCGCAGGTCGATGCTCTATCCACTGAGCCAAACCAGTCAGGGCCAACCTGATAGATCTTTATGTTAACCTGTGCCTCAGGGAAATAGGTTTGAGCTCCACAATGAAAGCAAAGGGCACGTCAGTTCATGGTTCTATTGCTTGTTCTAGGTAAAGGAAGCATGAAGAAGAGGGCAGAGTCTCCTCTAGAAGTTAGGAGCGCAAGCTCTGGTGCTCCTTTCTTGTTGGATGGATTGGTTTTAACACCTATCTCCACAGCCCGTGTCTACAGCGTCCACTTGCTGCAGTCTTGTCCTGCCTTTAGAGCATGAGTGGCTACTATCAAACCGTGATTGTAGTGACGTGATGGTATGAGTGAGAAGGGCGAGGTCCAGGCCTAGCTTTTGGGGGTGGTAATTAGAAAATCTTGTGATAGGACATTTGTAGAATAAAGCAATGAGGAGACTGATGGCGGGAACAGCACTGCAGCGGAGGAGAAGGAGCACACTAGGTAAGAACATCCCCAGAAAGACCTGGGAGTCTAGGAAATGGATACACACTTCAAAGAAAATGTTGGAACCAAAAAAAGAAGCTAAAAGTGTGCTGGAACATCCAGAAGAGTGGCTAAAGACAGAAATAAGAATTCAGCAAGGAGGAGAGCAGACCCCAAGCACTGCTAGGCCTGGCCTTTGCAGGAGGCCCTGTGCTTGGAGACCCACTTCATGGCCCAGAAGCACAGACTCACGAGGGACTAAGCCTGAGGCAGCTTCTCTCCAGACAGGCCGCTTACAAGATGGCAAAGGCTGACAGAGCAGTGCAGGAAAGGAGGGCCCGAGCTTGTTCCTGCTGCTTTCAGACAGTACCTGCTTGCACGTCTTAGTCCCCAGAAGCCTCGCTATTGAACAGAAGTTGTTGAAGTAGGTGCCATGAAAGACTCGGAAAAGAGATTCTTCAGCCCCAGTCCATTCCACAGGCTCCGAGGGTGCTTCCACTACACAGAGCTGAGGCGGGGCTGGACTAGCCTTCTGTTTTGTGGGGGTCTGACAGCGAGAGTTAGCCTCTAAGAGAGGAAGAAATAAGAGAAACAGAAGAAGGTGGAATGCAGTTGTCATCAATAGTTGGCTGTAAATTCAAAAGTATTTTGAAAGGCAGCCTAGTTAGAACAAAAATATCCCATCTCCACTGTTTATAGATAAACCTGTGGACAGAATTAACAATTTTATAAAACACTAGAGGTCCGGTGCACAAAATTTGTGCAGGGGGAGGGGGGGATCCCTCAGCCCAGCCTGCACCCTCTCACAATCTGGGACTGCTGGCTCCTAACTGCTCACCTGCCTGCCTGCCTGATCACCCCTAACCCCTCTGCCGGCCTGCCTGATTGTCCCTAACAGCCCCTGCCTGCCTGCCTGCCTGATCGCCCTAACCACTCTGCCTGCCTGCCTGATCACCCCTAACTGCCTCTGCCTCGGCCCCCGCCACGGCGGCTTCGTCTGGAAGGATGTCCGGAATGACGCCTGGAAGGTCGTTTGGCTGTCTGGTCTAATTAGCATATTACGCTTTTATTATTATAGCTAGTAATATTAAGTGTTAGATGGTGATCCTGGGTTTACCAGAATCCTTGTGTGTTAAGAAAAGATCATTTCCTGTTCACTGTACCTGAAGAACTGGAGGCCCAGTCATTGCCTGTGTCCCTGTCACTGTCCCCTTCTTTAGTCTCAGCCAGAGCAGAGGCTGAAGTGTTGGAGCAGGAAGCACTGACCATGTGGTGCCTTCGCCGGCGCCGACCAGAGCACTTGGAACGGGGGTTGTGGAGCATGGCGTACTCCTTTGCTCCTTCCTGCAATGGACACGTTAGATAGGAAACTGGAGTAGGCCCAGAATCACCATATTTATCCCATCATAAACAAACCAGCTTTTCAGCATCTGTGCTTACGTGCAATGATACTGTCTTTTGTTTGCTCTGTACCATACAAATGTGACCATCTAACAGCCGTTTAGCATTCTAAAAACTTAGAAACATACCTCTTCACAAAAGAGCTAACCTATAAAGTAATCTTAAAAAGATATAATCTATGAGTTTTCAACTTTCCAGTGAGTTATATCTAAAATTCATTTGCATGTTAGCTGTTTGGAACTTGAGAACACATTCTCCTGTAGTGGTAATGAGGTTGAGAGGGAAAGAGACTTGCTTGAGAGTATATAGCTAATTGTTCCAGGGTGGGTACAAGGATCAGGACTCTTCTGTTTCAATAATAAAACATGTAGTCCCTGAATTTATGCAATATTGCTACTTAATTTTTGAACTTCCCTCCAAACTAGTATATTAAATTTGGAGGAATACTGTTTCGTTACTTTATAGTTATGTGGGATTTTTTTTAAAGACCAAATAACTATCATTCACCTTGATTATCTATCTTCTTACCAGACTTGGTTCCAAAAGATTTCTAGCTGTTTCTAAAAACTAAAACTACATGTAAATGATAGCATTTACCATTAATAAGGATATTCAGAATAATACACTGTAGGCACTAAAGGAAATTCCAAAAGAAAAGTTTTGAAATGAACTGAATCTGATATTATGTGCCTATGCTATGATGTGACACACACAGAATCACTTATAATATATTCTTCCTCAAAATGTTTAACATAGCCCTGGCCAGGTAGTTCAGTTGGTTAGAGCATCATCCTAATACACGAAGAGAGAGGAAAGCACCGATGTGAGAGAGACACATCAATTGGTTGCCTCCCACACACGCCCAGGGGATCGAGCCTGCAACCGAGGAACGTGCCCTTGACCTTAATTGAACCCAGGACCCTTCATTTTGTGGGCTGATGCTCTATCTACTGAACCAAACTGGCTAGGGCTTTATTTATTTATTTTTAATCATTTTAGAGAGGAAGAGAGAGGGAGAGATAGAAACATCAATGATGAGAGAGAATCATTGATTGGCTGCCTCCTGCACACCCCGTACTGGGGATCTAGCCCGCAACCCAGGCGTATGTCCGACCAGGAATCAAACCGTGACCTCCTGGTTCACAGGTCAATGATCAACAACTGAGCCACATTGGCCGGGCAGAAGTCATGTTTTATTTGCACTTTATGACCTCCAAGTGCTATGTACTGTCTCACTTGGTTTGTGCTGCCAGGGACAGAAAGCCCAAGGACCATTTCCTGCTCAATTTTCAACAAAGTTAACAATAGTAGAACAGCTTAAGAACGTACCAGCAAAAGGAAGCAGTCTGTGCCACATGGTTCTGGTTCAATCTTGATTTCTTTGTTCTTGCGTTTATATACATTAGGGGTAGCATGAAAAGCTGGAAAACACAACACTGTCCTGTTTCCAATGATTCATCCACTTGACAGGATGGGGAGGAACAAAACTGAATTAGGGAGCTAGTGCAGGAGAATCTGGAGATAAATAGCTACCATCAAAGTGCACAAAATCCAATCATTTCTGACATCAACAGAATCCTTTCAAAGCTAGGAGGTAGTCAGAAACAATTACGTTGCTGGTTATCCTGTCCTGACCATGCAAAGCATGTTGCACGATAACTGAACAAGTGAAAATAGATTGGTCCTTTGTAAAAACCATCATCAGATCAGAAGCCGGGAATTCTATATGATAAACTAAAATAAAGAGAAGGAAATGCTGGCTGGGAATAGAAAACAGGAGAGCATTTCAGAGTAGCCCCACTCACGGTGAAGGAAGCAGTCGTATTTAAAGCAGCGCCGGCAAAAAAGTGTGTGGAAGGAGTGCAGAGATTGCTCCCGCTGCACAGACTTGGCATTGGGGCCATCGATGTTGGGTGTGCACTGAGGGGGAAGTGCATTGGGGTCTGACATCTCTGTTAGTTCTCGGTACCTATTTAAGAAAAGAGAGATAAGAGTTCCTTCCAAGGGAATGTCTTAACTGAGAAAATACCGACTGAGTACTGAGGATCATCCAGGTACAGCTGGCCAAGAGAGGATGGGAGTTTTGAGTCTTGTTGATGATGGATTTGTGTATAACTGAGTTAGTACAACATTATAATTATGCTGGGCTGGGCATATGCCTGAAAGGGAGGGAAATACTTAATAATAAGTATGGTGCTGGAGTAACTCTCCAGAAAAATGGCAGAAGTATAAAAAGTTCTCTGCCCAGACTTACTCAGAAGCCAGCAAACAATGACCCTTAATAAGGGAATGGGTATTTTGGGTAAGCAAGTAAGGAAGAAATAATGAGAAGTGCGGGCAAATCCTTATGCACTTACCATAAGCAAGGCTTTTTATTAACCAAATACAGGTGTGAATAAAAATTTTGCCTGATCACTCTACATGGCCTGAGGGGGGCAGCTTCCCCTACCTCTCCTTCATGTCATCTGGGACACCATTCTCAGGGAACATTGAGGCGATTGCACTGAAGATCATGTCATTTGGAAACTGTTTCTTGGAACTCTTTTTGTTGCCTGAATTAGAAAAGACAAAAAGCTCCTGAGTGCTATCTACAATCAGAGTATGCAAACAAAGCTGTTTGGTCGTTTTTCTTTCGTCAAGGCATTTTGATTAGAGCTGCTTTTTTGTTGTTGTTAATTCTTACCCGGAGATATTTTTCCATTGATTTTTAGGGAGAGTGGAAGAGAGAGGAAAAGACAGAGAGAAACATCGATGTGAGAAAAACACATCGCTTGGTTGCCTCCTGCATGAGCCCTGACCAGGCCCCAGGCCCGGGAGGAGCCTGCAACCAAGGTACTCGCCTTTGACCAGAATCCAACCCGGGACCCTTTGGTCTGCAGGCCGATGCTCTATCCACTGAGCCAAACCAGCTAGGGCTAGAGCTGCTTTTTTAACCTAACCATTGGCTGTTTAGGAATATATAAGAAAGTCAAGGTTATCTGGACTTCTCTAATAGGCTACCAGTAAATAAGGAAATCACAGTCTTCTACGTATTAACAACCATATCCACTCCCCAAGACAGAATATGGAGGTAAAAACCAGAGTTTTCAGAGACCTGAATACAGAAGAATCCTATATGCTGAAGAACAAGACTGATGTTATAACTTTGTTACAATGAAAGAGACACTATGTTCCTGGACATATAGTATAATTAAATAATGTAGAGTATAATTAAACATTAGTTAAATATTAACAACATGGAAAACTGTTCATATGATTTTTTAAAAAAGGGATAAAAAATACATGTATGTATATACATACATGTGGCATGATCCCAATTTCACATAACACATATAAACAGGTTGATTTAAATATGTACTTTAAAAAAATTGAGATATAGTTGACATACAACATTGTGTATATATATTTTAAATATTTTAAAAATTGATTTCAGAGAGAAAGGGAGAGGTAGAGAGAGATAGAAACATCAATGATGAGAGAGAATCACTGATCGGCTGCCTCCTACATGCCCCTGACTGGAGATTGAGCCTGCAACCTGGGCATGTGCCCTTGACTGGATTCAAACTCGGGACCCTTCAGTCTGCAGGCTGATGTTCTATCCACTGAACCAAACCAGCTAGGGCTTTATATATATATTTTTTTACATTTTTTTAGTTCTAGAAGGAAATTTAAAAAAAAATTTTTTTAATTGATTTCAAAGAGGAAGGGAGAGGGAGAGAGAGAGAGAAACATCAATGATGAGAGAGAATCATTGATCGGCTGCCCCCTGCACGCCCCCTACTGGGGATTGAGCCCGCAACCCGGGCATGTGCCCTTCATCAGAATCGAACCTGGGCTGCAGGCCAACGCTCTATCCACTGAACCAAATCAGCTAGGGCTAGAAGGAAATATTAATGGTTATTAAATTTTATATTAAAAAATAATTTTTAATATTATTCCTAGGCCGGTTATTCCTAGGCCGGATTATAAGGCCATTTTATTTTGTTCTTTAAACTTCCCATGTTTTCCAAATATACCATTTTCTAATTAGAAGTGAATAATGATTATTCTCTAAGTTCCACTTTCTTCTCAGCTAGGTTACCCAAGCTAAATTAACTTGGGAGAGGAGAGGGAGAGGAGAGGGAGAGGGGAGGGAAGGAGAGAGACATCAATTTGTTGTTCCAACTATTTATGCATTCATTTGTTGATTCTTTTTTTAAATATAAATTTTTTAAAATTAATTTTGAGAGAGAGAGAAAAAAAACATTGATTTGTTGTTCTGGTTATTTATGCATTCATTGGTTGATTCTTATATGTGCTCTGACCGGAGATTGAACCTGCAACCTTGGCATATGAGGATGATGCTCTAACCAACTTAGCTACTTGGCCAGAGCCTCTTCCTGTTACTTTAAAAAGTCGTATGAGGAAGTAGTGCTATTTACCTTCAATAGCATGTCGTTTTCTCTTTCTTGTTACTGGCAGATCTTCTTTGCTGTCATCTTGCTTTCCATCTGAGGTGTCATTGTGCCCTTCCTCCTCCTCATCTGAGTATTGATTCAGGGCATCTACCAACTCCAGGAAAACAGCATCACTAATCAGGACAGATCCAGGAATCATCTCTGAAACATAAGGATTAAATGGGTGAACAGTGGTTGTTTCATATTCCATTAGACCTCCTAGGAAGGTTTTGTTGTATTCACTCCTGAGGCCCAGGTAGATAACGTGTACATTTTTATATGGACTCCAGTGGATTACAATAATTTGATTGGCTCTTACAACTGCAACAGTTCAGCTGACTAGTGGAAAATCCAGTTACAAGTTTTATTCTTACTGGAGTACTTCCTTTCCACAGTCACAGGTCAACCTGTATTTATGGTCCAAAATCTCACAGAAATGTGCAAACAATAAAAATGGGACAGAAAAAAAATGATAAAAATATACTTGGTTTTTCTGCTAACTGGTCAGTAGTGACTTCTTTGAATAAAAATATAACATTTTTTCTTTCTAAAATCATACCATAGGGGGTTATAGGAGAAAGTCTTTGGACACTAGAGGGAGCAGTGGATAAATGCATTTCAACAGCATCATAACACCCACAACTGTCAAAAGAGCAGGTGAGGCTATTGGTTTGCAAATCCATGGGGAGTCTCTCCCTATCATCCCAGTTCTTATACACTCACAGCCTTTTTTAAAACTACTTCTAAAACTACAACTAAATCCAAATGGCCTTCTTTTAGGAAAGTGAGGATATTATAACCAATTTCTGAGAGATACAGGGGATATCTGGATCAAAACTTCTAAAATCAAACTTATTTGTACACTGAACTTTCTCTCTTGTCACTGATTACTATATGGTCCTTTTATGTCCAAACTCCTTTTAAAATTTAACTGGAAATTTTTAATATAAAATTTCTACTCTCAGCCACGTGATTACACTGTAATATTCTTCAGTGTGTACACCAGGGGTCCTCAAACTACGGCCCACGGGCCACATGCAAATACAAATATTGTATTTGTTCCCGTTTTGTTTTTTTACTTCAAAATAAGATATGTGCAGTGTGCATAGGAATTTGTTCATAGTTTTTTTTTAAAACTATAGTCCAGCCCTCCAACGGTCTGAGGGACAGTGAACTGGCCCCCTGTTTAAAAAGTTTGAGGACCCTGGTGTACACCGTAAAGCAGGAGATAAGAGGAAGATGATGGACCAAAGAAGAGGCACCATTCTAACAGTTTTCTCCCGAAGTGCCCAGCACCACTACCTTCTTCACCGTGTACTTTCCCATCGTAGTTATTGATCAGCTCTTCAATGAACGTCTCATCTTCTTCTTTCACCTCATCTCCCATGTAGGGAATATTGCACAAAACTGTCTCATCTTCTACCTGAAATCAAACCAGATGTGATTTCTTCCATGAATCCACTATACACCTCCTCTTTTCTGTTTAATGAAATATTTGCTGAGACTTTTTGCTACTTCAATCTCCTGAAAATGACTTTGGTCACAGTGGCCTGAGTTTAAAAACCTGGATATTTTGTTTTGTCAACAAAACCTCAAATGAAGAGGGCAATGCTACTTTTAGGGGGGGAAAAAGTAAGTTTAACTACAGGAGGATATTAACTACCAAATGTTTTGCATGATACTAATAAAGATATTTCCACTAACACCTAAAATTTGGTAGTACATTTGTTTTTCAGTGATTCATCATCTCTTTTTATTCAGTAAACATTATTGTGAAATAGGTATGAATATCACCTAAACAACAGTTTAAAAAGTCTTCAATTCTAATTCTTCTTGTACATAGAGATTAAATGAGATGGAAGGCTTGCAAAAATACAATCTGCAATATAACTAGAATATTTAGAACAGAAACTGGGCAATCATGAATTTTTGGATATTCTATTATATACTCTAAGACTAACCACTCTGATAATCATAATAACAAAGATGATTATAATTCATGTCACTTGCACTCAGTGGGAACCTAAAGTCAATCGCGGTTTATGAACTATAATATTTTCTGGTAATAAACAATACTAATGAATTTTTTCTTTTTTTGATTCAACAGAGAACACAGTCGTTCTTAAATCCTCAAGTATCAGAGTAAAACTACTCTGAAATTTAATTCTGAGGATTCCCTTCTGTGAACCCATATTCTATTCTGCTGAATTGTTATCTGTCACCAGGCAGATGATAAGCTATGGCAGTATTTAGAGAGGACTGCTTATCAGTACCACAAATAACCCTAGTAGGAGTTAGCATAAAGGCCCAGATGAAAGGATTGTGGATCCCTGTGCACCTCATTTATCTCAGTTGCTTTCATAGCCTCTTGACTTTAGAAGATTCAGAAAGGATTGAGCCATCAGCAGGGAGCTGTCAACCTGCTTGAGCCTCAAGTGTCTGACTGAGACTGCATTTAATTGCACGTTATAAAATTGGACAAGGTAGTAAGGGAAAACTGGAGTCCTGCCCAGTCTCACTCATTCAAAAAAATAAAAGAACCATCATCAGTGCAGAAGCATACTTCAGAGAGCACAATACCTACCAAGTTAGAGCAACTTGCAATATACTTTTTAGAGTAAGTAAATTACTCTAAAAGCATTCTGCCCTGCTTGTCCAAGCTTTGTTACATATACTCTGACAATATTTACCTGAAGAGGAGTGCCAGCATATTAACATAAGAAAATCATAGTTTAAACAATTATCACATTGTTTTCAATACATACCATAAAGTTCTGCTGGAGAGGGGACCAGGAATACATAATGGGAACCAATGCAACTGTGTTCAGAGACCGCATTAACATATGTTGGCTTGCAAATCCCGGGAAAATGCTGTCAATGGTACACTGAAATATAAACAATGATATGGAGAGGGAAAGGCAAGCACACAACTCAAGAGAGAATTGGAGTTTCCTTCCAAAATGATCCCAGTAGCCTTCTAATTCTTTCAAATAAGCTGAGGGTTTCGTAACAGTCAGCTTCTAAAAGGAACCACTACACTATAAACCTGTGGAAAGTAGGAACTCTCTCTTATTCACCTTTGTATCCTCTACCGAATCCAGCACTTACTCAATGATGTTTATTTCAAATCCCACACTTGATGTGTATTTCAACCTAAAACTGTTGGTCTCCTTGGGCTGTACACAAGAGCAAAGGGCCTCTGAAAGTCCTAAGAGATGAGGAGGAAGATGAAGTTTTCCTGAAGACCTAAACGTTAAGGCAGCGGACATCAACTCAGCTGCACAGGTGATGGGGACAGTACAGGGGGAAGCAAAAGAAAGTATAGTCATATTTTGCTTTGGAAAATAAAATTACTCTCAATATACTACCTGATTTTTATATCTTAAAAATTATTATCTCTTTAGAAAACTAGTATGATTTGTAAATTTACAATAAGGGATATCCCTTTTATCAATATATTCCTGTCCATTATCCAAGGCATTCTTTTTTCCAATATCAAAATGCTGAAAGTGCCAAACAAGGCACAAAAAATGGTTGATTTGAAGCCTGCACACAGAACCCAGGAAAGTAGACAGCAAATGTCTTGTTTTTTTTCTATGAAAAACTCATGATTATGCTCATTAACTGAGAAGAACAATAGGCAAAAAGGTTCTTTAAGCTACAGATGTACCATTCCGGTTATTCAAAGTTTACTATAATAACTGTACCCATTATCTTTACTTAGCTTTTCTAGTCACAAATACAAGTCCAAGGAAGAGAGGAAGGCTGAGCTTAGATACCCAGAAGTACCTTTTTGAGAAAAGGATGCCCACTCAGAGGCTTCATCAACTGAACAGGTTGAACACGAAGCTTCTTCCATTCTTCATTAAGGATTTGGGTTTTTTCTTGAACCTTTGCAAAATTTGCTACATATAGAGCCTAGCAAAGGCAAGAAAAAAGTAGTTAGGATTTCAAGAGAAGAGTTGAAAAACTCAACCCCTCCACAATGGATCAATATGTTAAAATACAGAACCTTTCACTTGGAAATTATTTTTTACCTTTGCACCCATATTTGCCTGAAGCCGTTTAAGTTGTCGAAGTCTCATGTATTCAGATTTAACCTTTCTTTTCCAATAAGTGATACATTTGGAAGTTGGGGCATTTGGTATATCCATTTTGCTGTAATCCAAGAGAGACAGAGATGAGAAATAGCATTTATAGCCTGGAAATGAAGCATTCCTCAAACTCAACCACGGTCAGTTATACTTTCATTCCTATTACATTTATTCATAAAAACATACACTCAACGAACCCAAAACTGTGAGTTCAACAGGAAGTTTCAATTAAAAGATTTCATGCCTGCAATTCCTGATCTTATTACCACCCTAACCCCCAACTGAGTGGACACAGATGGAAGATGTTCTGCAGGGCAGGGGGGAGGCTGGGGATATGTTTAGCAGCCACCTCCTCCCATACCTCAAGAAGTTATCTCACAGATATTTAGGAACTTGGATTACTTGGAAATTTTGAAGCCTACTCACTACAGTGATTAAGAGAAATGTTCAGCAAGAATTAAGTTAATATCAAAGAGGTGCATGGAAACATCCACACTATAAAACTGTACCTGCCAAATTATCTAAATCTACCACAGCCTTAGCAATAAAGGGTGGACAGGACAACAGCATAATTTCATCTCAAAGTCAACAGCAAGACATTTAGAAATATATAACACTGTAAATAACTTTTGTGCGTGTTTGAATAAAGAGTCACAGTTTTAAAGAAGTGCTTATACGCTACCTACCTCAGAATGCAAGGGGAAGTGTCCAGTTTTACAATGTGCCTTCTTCTGTTCTTCAGGGGAATGGTAAGACATAAAGGCAAAACAAATATTCAGCTTTTCAAAAGAGAATAGAAAGTTTTTAAGTCAGTGGAGCATATTTAGACCCTGATACATTCAGTAGGATGCTCTCCCATAACTATGAAGAGTTTGAGGTCGCTGCTACCATTATTTCTGCATGTAAGTCGGGTCTAAATAATACTTGATGCCATTGGGAAGGGTCCTTTAAACTCTATCCTTCCAGTCATGTGTACAAATATATTCTCACAATTACCAAGTTTGCTATTTTGCTTTTCTGAACCAATTTCTAGGCTCAGCCTGCAGGCCCAGCAATTATTTTAGAGAAAGAACAAATTTTGTGTGCATGTGAAAATTCAATAAAATCTACAGGAATGTTTTTACTCTATAGTAATAACTATTTAGGTTTCCTAGAGAACTAGTTTAATTCATTTCACCTAAAATTTTAAGTTTCTGAATATATTACAAGGAGCTATGAAGAGCCAAAATCTGAAACAGAAACTAAAGTTTCAGACCTTGTTTTTTTAAAATTTCTGGGGGGGGGAAAAGGCTTTCTTTTGGAGTTTAATATCATAGTTCTCCTAATGGATCATTTTTAAATTACCTGCCTTTCCCCATAAGAATAGACAGCACATGCCAAAACCGGTTTGGCTCAGTGGATAGAGCATCGGCCTGCGGACTGAAAGGTCCCAGGTTCGATTCCGGTCAAGGGCATGTACCTGGGTTGCGGGCACATCCCCCGTGGGAGATGTGTAGGAGGCAGCTGGTCGATGTTTCTCTCCCATCGATGTTTCTAACTATCTATCTCTCTCCCTTCCTCTCTGTAAAAAATCAATAAAATATATTAAAAAAAAAAGAATAGACAGCACAGATAAGAAAACAGCAAAATTTAACCCACTGTCACACATACACCACAATCAGATCATCATGATCATGTGATCTCATGCACATGGGCTTTGTTTCATTTGATGAACCAAATAGATTGGTATAATGCGATTAGAAATTTAGAGGATAAGTAAAGGAAGGAAGGCATAGCAAAACACAGACAGGTTCACTGTGTTTACTAAAACAAAACCAAGTGATTAAGCTTGTAAAAACAGAATTCCCTGAGAGTTAATCGTTATCTCTCTGGAAGAAGAAAATGAAACAACATAATCTAGGAATTTGAATCCAAGAGTGCTAAGATGATGGGATATAAAAAAATTAAGCTGACCTGAATTTCTTTCCTACAAATTGCCCCACCTCTCTTCCTCCTACATCTGTTAAATAGTTCTCATTCCTCTATGGAATGGGGTCAAAAGAGGGCCTCTTTTTGACTGATAAAACTATACATCACACTCACATGTAATATTAAGTAGTTGTTCACATACTGTCTGCCGAACAACAAATAGTCTACTCCGGGAAATGAAAAAATGGTTCAAATATAAGACAAAACTGCCTCCCTGAGAAACGTTAGGTTATCCTTATTGAGACGCAAATGACCCAAATGTTACATATCACAATTCAGTCAATCATCATAACCTCCTTAAAAAATGGCTTTTAATTGCAATTCCTTTCCCATTCTTTTTGGAACTCTTTCCCTTTTTGAAATAGTGAGCTCAGGGAAGTTTGCTGTATCCATTTGAAACTGGAGATCAGTAATGGAAAATAATATAATCCACAATTGCTTGTGTGTGTGTGTGCGCGCATGCGCACAGATTTCTTAGAGGAGATGGCCACAGAGAAATATCAGTATTTTTATTAAAGAAAGGAGTTATAACTGACATGTAATATCCTACAGCCTGTCAAGAGAGTTGACAGTATTCACATATACACGAAAATGCCATTATTTTAACCAACCATAATGTAAAATAAGCCACATTTCCTCCTTTTACAATAAAAATATTTGAATTTCATGTGACCGTGAAGTGACATTTATTTTGCTTTGCCTTTTCACGGGTCTTCAATGTTTCTAAAGTTTATTTGGCAGTTAGTCAGTCCCCACAGAGTGTATGAGGAAGATGAGACATACTATTTGGAACAGATTATATGATTAAAATAAACACCTGAAACACAGCCAGAAGACTGGTTCTCAAAGCATCTGGGCACTAACCAACAACTATCACTTCAGATTGTTTTTTAAAGCAAACAAAACACTAAGCACTCCCTAGAGCAGATTTGGAAAAATAGGTTCATACATCTTGGTCAATGGGAATGGCATATCAAAAAATACCTTGTATTTCTACTACATCTGTTCTTTAGTTCTTAGACATGCAAAACAACATTTACATGTCAGTTAACTACTAAGCTACTACTTAGGAGCTTTTTATTATGTTCACTTATACACTGAAAATAAACTTCAAAACATGCAGTTTTGGTCAAGAAGTTTAAAAATGTCTTTATATAAATAATGCCAAAATTCAATATGATAAGCAACCCAATAAAAATGACAAAAGAAAAAAATCTGAGTAGATACTGCACCAAAAAGATATAGAAATAGCAAAACAGCACACAAAAAGATGCTCAATACTATTAGTCATTAGAGAAATGCAAACCAAAACTACAAGGATGTACTATTACAACCCATTAAAATGGCTAAAATAAAAAAGATTGATCATATCAATTATTGGTAAGGATGTGGAGCAAACTGGTATCCTCATCATACATTGGTGGTGGAAATGCAAAATGGTACAGCCATTTTGGAAAACAGTTGGCCAGTTTAAAAAAAATAAAGTTAAATATACACTTACCATATAACCTGACATACAATTTCTAATTATCCAAGATAAATGAAAATATTTGTCCCCACAAAGATCTGTACACAAATGTTCATAGCATCTTTATTCAGAATAGCCAGAAAGTGGAAACAAGACAAATATTTAGGGATTTGCGAATGGATACAAAGTGTAGTATATACATACAACGGAATACTCCGTAATAAAAAAGGAATGAACAGTTCCCATACATGCACAATACATCTCAACAACTTTATGCTAAGTGAAAGAAACACACAAAAAATGACATTCTATATGACTCCACTTACATGACATTCTACTAGAATATTTCTAGAAAGGGCAAATCTAGAAAGTGACAGAGAGTAGATCAGTGGTTGTCAGGGGCTGGGGTTGGGGAAAGCAATTAAAAGGAAAGGAGCTTAGCCCTAGCTGGTTAGGCTCAATGGATAAAGCATCCGCCCACGGACTGAAGGGTCCCGGGTTTGACTCCTGTCAAGGGCACATACCTAGATTGCAGGCTCCATCTGGCCTTGGTCACCCCTGGTTGGGTTGCAACCAATCCATGTGTCTCTCTCACCTCTCACATTGATATTTCTCTCTTTCCCACTCCCTTCTTCTCTCTTTCCCTCCCTCCCCCCCAAAAAAGGGAAAGGAGCATAGCCCAGCTGGTATGGCTCAGTGGTTGAGCATTGACCCAGGAACCAAGAGGTCACGGTTTGATGTCTAGTCAGGGCACATGCCAGGATTGCAGGCTTACTCCCCAATGGAGGATGTGCAGGAGGAAGCCAATCAACGATTCTCCTCATCACTGATGTTTATAATCCTCTCTCCCTCTCTCTCTCTGAAGTCAATAAAAACATTTTTTTTTTTTAAGGAAAGGAGCACAAAGGCACTTTTTTGGGGATGATAAAAACGTTTTATAACTTGGTTGTGATGATGGTGATTTGACTATGTACTTTTATGAAACCTTGCTGTACTATATACATAAATGATTAATTTATTGTACATAAATTTTTACCTCAATAATGCTGATTAAAGAAAAAATAAATCTTTCTTGATGACCTATTAATCCAGTATTTCCTAGAGACTTACTATTAAAAATAGTAGGGAATTTCACCTTTTAAAAAAACTCTTTAAAAAAACCCAAACTCTTGAGTGACTTCAGAATGAATAATAGTAGAATGATCAATAGTGGTTCAATAACTATTAAAAAAGTTACATGTATACTACTGTAAGATGTTAATAATACGGGAAATGGGATGTGGGTTATATGGGAACTCCCTGTAATATCTTTATTTTTTTGTAAATCTAAAACTGTTTTAAGAAAATAAGGTTGTTTTTTTAAAAAAAATGATAATTGGAAATGTTAACTACCTTATTTACAAGTCAGACCGCTACAGGAAAAGAAAGCTATAAAAACTTGGAAATCTTTCCCCAGAAAATTGGGCCTCAATTTGCTTCAAAGGCTAAACCTAGAATGTAGTTTGTCACTAGTTGGAAATGGGAAAACATTACTGAAATATTTGGAGATAAAACATTTAAGGAACAATATCCTTAAACTCAGAGAGACTGAAATCAGAATATAAAAGTTCCAAACTATGAAATTCTTTCATCCACATAAAGGTGTCCATTTACAGAAGCTTATCTTAGGGGCAAGTTCAACGTCTTTACTACTTTCTCTTTTAGAACAAATAATTTTTGTTAATGCCTGGGTGAATTGCACTGTAGATGTTTAAATTTTCCATCTCATTCTTTCCTTTTCAGTTCAGTGGAGTTGAAACATAAACAATAGGGGTGAATCTACCTCTGCCAACAGCTCTAGTAAAGCATTATGAGTTATTCTGGTGATGACCAATTTCATCAACATTCCTGTTAAAATCAACTCTGTGGCTAGGTATATAATGATCGATCCTTCAAGTAAGATCTATTAAATACATCTTTAGTTTATACTCTCCCACTTCTCCAAGATATTTATATTTGTTATTAGTTTGAGGTTCTGGGCACCCTACACATAGGAAAAAAACCTTACTAATAGGAAGCTGTGAATTTTTTCCCTGAATTCTTATTTAAAATAAAATTATACCACTAATATTTTTTAGTATTGCTTTATTAAGAAAATAAGGTCATTTGCACTGGAGACAATGGAGATAAAAATCAAAGCAGGATTAATTTTTATGAGACCCAACAGATATACAACAATCTATATATATAAAAGCCTAATATGCAAATTGTCCCCACAGGAGTTCAACCAGAAGACCGAGCACTCGCTATGATGTGTGCTGACCACAAGGGGGTGGCGAGGAACGAAGGAAGGCCCTGGTTGGC